CATTTTAACTGTAGTGTAGTTTAGTATGAAGTTTTTGTTAGTTTCTTGGAGCTGGGTGGCCTTTTGGCGAGAGCAGGCTATCGCAAGCATCCACTATTATCGTGTTAGGACTTCTGTGTTCATTGTTTCTCTTAGCGTTTGTTTTATGAAATTTGGTGCAGAGATGTTCCATATATACATATGCTGTATGTGTAGATAATAAATATGCAGTAATTTATGTATAACTTAGCATATATACTAAACACATAGAAATAATCTATTAAAATCTGTACTGTGTTTCTGTGTGTATTGTTGCCTCTGCCAGCATGTAGCGGCTTAATTTTCAGACATCCATTGTGTTTTGTCACTTGAGATCTTTATGAGACAGCTAGAGATAGCTGTACCTACTTTACCCGGGTTTCATCTATTTAGAATATAATTTTTTTAACCTGTAAGACTCAGACTGTATTTGATGGAGTACTATGTTTTCTGCAGGTTGGAAATAGGAGGGTATTTAATTATGTTTCCATCAGCCAGTCTCACCCTTCTGTTTGGGGGATTAGGACCATTTAAGTCCAGTGCTATAATTAGGTACTAATTCTCGGCATAGTTTAAATAAAAAAAAAAAAAAACTGATGTTTAATTACTCCCTGATTAATTCCAATTTGCTTGTTTAGTCTTCTCGTAGGATTTACGTTTTCTTCGTCCTTAGTGTGGTGTTCCTTTGCTCTGTTGTGTTTAGGTTTCCTTAAGGCACCATCTGCAATATGGGCGTGGTCATGAATTGCATCAGCTTATACTGGCCTTGGCTTTTTTTTTTTCTATTCTGAAGGGTTCTTGCTCTTGATATTGTAATCTAGACTGCGTATGTACCATCACCTGGTGTCTTAGTTAGGGTCTTATTGCTGTGAAGAGAATCTAGGACCACAGCAGTTCTCATAAAGGGGAACATTTGCAGTTTCAGAAGTTTAGTCTACTATCACCATGGAGGGACATGGTTCTGTGCAGGGTCAAGGAGCTGAGAGTTCAGCATGTTGACCCACGGGCAGCAGAAGGAGATCGGTTAGCACACTGGCCATAGCGTGAGCCTATGAGCTCCCAAAGCCCATGTCCACAGTGTTCCTCCAAGGCCATTCCCCATGGGCCAAGCTCTCAAACACCTTAGTCCGTGGGGGCCACGCCTATTCAAACCATCACACCTTGTTTCAGAGCTTTTGTTGGCAAATCTGATAGGACTCAGTGCTGACTGCCTTGGTTGGCTCTTTCAGTACAGCATTCCACCTCAGTTGTTTACTGTTGACATTTTCATGCAAAATATGCAATCACAGGCATCCTTTCTGGCCAATTTCCTGGGTTTATAAACAGTCCTTGTACTTAGATGTCCATGTTTCCCCAGGAAGTGGGCAGTTTCCTGGTATTGTGTCACCAAAACATTTTCCGGGCCTTTGGTTTGTTCCCACTTTGACAACGTAACGAGGAATGTCAGATTGTAGAGAGGAGTTCAGTTTGTTTCCAGCTAGATTCTGTGGTGAAGTTTTCTGTTGAGTTCTTTGATGATGTCATTGTCTTCTGACAGTGTGTAGTGTATCAGAGACCCATGCCTTTGCCTTACCTTGGGGTCCTATAAGACCAGGACATTTGTTGATGGTTGCATGTGTAGGATGCACCCTCTGTAGTCATTCTTAGTCTTATCAACCATCTAGAGTCTGAAATGGTCTGGGTGTAACATAGGGCAGTCCTGATGCAATGGAGTGTCCATAGTCCTTTTATTTTATATCTGTAATAGCTGCCAGAGGTGGAGTATCAATGAGTAGGCTGTCAGGACCATCATGCTCTGCCTGCTTGGATAATGATTGTTGGCTTGAAGCTTTTCAGTCTCTTTCAGTTTTGAGTCATAGTGTCATTTTAAGTTTGAGTCGGGTAGAATGTTCTGACTCTAAGCTAGGTGGAGAATGTTCTTCCTTGGCAAGGGCATCTAAATGGGGCAAAGTGTGTCTTTTATCCCTAGTATCTGAAGCGAGGAGAATTACCACTAACAGAAGCAAATAGCATTGAACTAGAATCAGAAATAAAATAAAATCTTATATAATGTATAGCTTTGTTAACAAATGCCAGAGGCAGAAACAAACCTACAGGAAAATGTTTTAAAAGATGATATTTTTTTTAAAACAAGGAAACAAGAGAGAATAAAAATGATAAATGAAAATGGTGAAAGGTGTGAAATGGAGAATGAAGGCCCTAATTATAAAACAATGTGTGTAGAATGAAAGAGTTGCAGTAATCGGAAATGAAGAGAGAGAAAGCATAACAGCAAAACAAGAACTGAAGACCCCCAAACAGGAAAAGAAACTCTCAAATGTACACAGACACATACAGAGAGAATCACAGACAGATAGGCACATGCACACAGACACAAATATACATACATAGAGACTTGCAGACAGACAGATACACACATGCACACAGACACATACACCACACACACACACACACACACACACACACACAGAGAGAGAGAGAGAGAGAGAGAGAGAGAGAGAGAGAGAGAGATACATAGAGGCACACACATATCCCACATATCCATACAGAGAAATTCACAGATACTCACATACACACAGAGACATACACACACACACACACATATACAAACACACACATATACACATATTCACACAATGCACACATATATATACAAACACACATATATATATATACATATTCACACACTTGCACACAGACACACACATGCATACACATTAGCATATGCATACATATACTCGCATATCAGCAAATACAGATAAACAAAGAAAGTGTTAAGATAATTTAAGTACTGTCTCCGTTGGTGCAGTTGCACAGGCAAGAGTGAATTCTCTCTTTCTCTCTCTCTCTCTCTCTCTCTCTCTCTCTCTCTCTCTCTCTCTCTCCCTCTCTCTCCCACTCTCCTCTTCTTGTCTTGTCGGCCCATACCCTCCATGAAGCACAACGGCTTCATTTATAGCAAACAGTTAGGCCAGCAGGGATGGTTTGATATTGAACCAACTGGAGATGTCTCCCTGCTTACCAGCACAAGGCAGAGTGAAGTCTGCATGCCTTTAGATGGGATTCCTAGTGGGAAGATGGCTGAGCTGAGCTGAGCCTGCTGGCACACGGCTTTCACAGGCTGGAACAACAGACCTTCACGATTGGAGGGATGCTGCAGGATTACATGTTCTGAGTCCCAGTGTCTGCCACCATGTGCATACTTGCTCCGTGTCTCACTGCTCTAGCTGCTGTCTTAAAGGGAAAACCAACCCTGCTCCACTCTGCCTGCCAGACATGAATCCTACTGCATGTCTTTCCAAGGCACATTTGCCTAGTGCTTACAAGGACAGTGTGAGAAAACTCATTGTGATTTTCAAGGAACAGAGTCCACGTGCATCTCATCGGTCGAGTTCCTGGATGCAGCATGCTGTCTATACCAAGATACACAATGTTTCGCTTGTGACTCCATGCTTTGCAGCTCTTAGATCAGCTGAGTTCAGGCTGCCTTGCTCAATCCACTGCTGCCTCAAGCTTGCCCGCCCTTTTCTCTCCTTTTTCCATGTGCTTGCTTAGCCACCCACCTTCCAGAGAAGCCGTGTTCTGACTGTACCTTTTCCAAACCACTGAGAAGTTAGAAGCTTTAGAGTTAGCGCTGGGTAGGCAGGTGGACATGACACACATGGCTTCTATGATTTTCTGTATGGAAGTTCAAAGTGGCCCACAGGACTCCGGGCGTGGAAGCAGAAGCATCATGAATTCAAGGTCTTCCTGGGCCACACAGCAAGGACATGCCGGATACGGGGTGGCGGTGGCAGGATTATATGTATCAACATCACTGTAAACAAAATGAAGAGTCCAGCCACAGACTGGGGATAGCTCATCTATCCAATCAGCAAAAACGTTATTGTCCAGAGCATAGAAAGGAGGGATGGGTAAAATGAATGAAGGGGTTAATGAATGAAGGGGTTTCATGAGAAATTCATGGATGAACTCTTTGAAAGCATATAAAAATCCATCTTCCCGGTCTAATATTGTTACCCTAGTTGGGTGTAGTGTCAAAGTGACGTTTGGTTACTATCACCAAACCCGTATTTTAGTGCAGTTCTCAGACCAGACAGAGAAGTTTGTTTGTGTAGTAAACCGTAAATGAAGAAAACTCATGACTTGTTGAAGTGCGGAGACCTTAGCTACCAATGGGGTAACCCATCGCAGAAAGAGGAGCAGAAAGAGTGAAAGCCAGAGGCCAAGGGACGAGAGCAAAACTGTGTCCTGGACACGGCAGGAACATGGTACTGATAATCTCGCAGCAGCTGTGGTGGCCTGCATGGGGATTGCACGAGATCAAGCCAGTCTCATGGTCCTAAGCCCTAGCTGAGGACCTGTGGACAGTTGACTGCTTCTAGGGAAGGGATACTGAGTTTCCTTTAAGGTGTGGCACTTAGTAGGTCAACCATTCCAGGGGATGCCCGATAGCCTTAAGTTTATTGGCCACACAGATTGGACTTGGCAGGGTTATTAAAGAAAAAGAAAGAGAGGGTAAGAAGGTAAGAAGGGGACTTAGCTCCGGGTTGAGTTAGGGGAGGGGTGCATTGTATGTATGAATACAACTATTAAAGGATTAATGTAAATATTACACTTTAAAGATTAATCTTCCAGACTACATGGTTAAATTTCTTTATTAAATTCTGTTACTTTGTTTTGACAAGTCATCATGTGTAATTATTGGTCATGCCATGATGGCATGTTATACATATCCCACACTGTGGATATATTCATCACCTTAAATACTTACCATTTGTTACCACTGTTTAACTGTAGCTCCGAACCTCCCCACAACGTCTCCTGTTCTCCCATGCCCCTCCCAACTTCCAGAATCTTCTCTTCTATTCGGCTTTTATGAATCCTGTTATTTGTAAATCCCACATATCAATGACATAAAATGCTCTATATTAAGTTGTGAAGAATCTCACTGGCTGATATTGTGTCGTGAAATTCCGCAGGACCAGTCCTCTCCTGAGCAGGAAAATGGCTTTCAGGTTGGAATGAGAATAGAAGGCATCGATCCCTGGCATCCGGCTGTGTTTTGTGGGCTTTCTGTAGCGGATGTAAGAGGGTGCTGTTGCCTTGGACTGATTGTGTGGTGACAGGTCCTTAGAAAATAACAAATGTCAGCACCTTTTCTGAAGAGTGAGCCCTACTCTACTCCATTATTTTGGTCAATAAGTGTATAAAAAACACACTCCTTAATAATTTTTTCTTAACATGAATTTTCTAATAACTTCTTCACCAACTAGTGTTTATCACTGACTTACCTGAAAAATAGATCTTACTAAAGTCGATAGTAGTCTAAGAATGCCACAATGCTATCTCTACCTATTACAGTGACATTATTACTCATAGGTTAGCTAATGAATATATATTCATTTCAATACACTCACTTTATGAAAATTATATACAGAAGACTGCCATTGATGAAAACAGATGGATATTAAAACATAATGTTTATTCAATATGTTATTAAATCAATGAAAGATGTCTAAATTTATAAAAGCATCGAACTGAGAAGTCATAGTGACATGTCCTATGTGACAATAATGGCTGTTAGACTTGTACAGAATATCTGGAGGAAGTATTTCTCAGACTGTCATTATTTTCTGTGTTAAATACACTGGCTCTGTGTGTTAAAGTCGTTCATTATCTGAGGCTTAACTCTTTGAGGTAGGAATTAAGCCCACCAGCAGACAGTAAATTTTCTAGCAGGAGTATTAACAGTCAATTAAAAACATTTTTTGACCCCAGACTCCTAAATATGTCTGAAGGTTATTATTTTTGCAAAAAGAGCCCCTTCAGAATCATCTTGATTTAGCCATATATCATATCACATATATATTTGCTCTCTGATGAAAGTGTTTGGACCCACAGACGAATGATTGGTTCACAATGATGATGTCAACTAAACATTTGGATATTTATTTTGCCAGTGTTTGAACCCATTTCAGTTACATGACACGTGATGAACGATTGTGAACTCCCTCGGTTTCAGGTGTGTGGTTACCGGCTGAGCCTGCATTTTGATGATTATTTGAGCTCCCATGATTTTTGGACCAACGCCGGTTCCCCAGGCATTCACCCAGTGGGGTGGTGTAAAAGGACCAACCATGAATTGCACATCCCAAAGGGTGAGCAGGGGAGCATTTGTCCATCCGAGGGAGGGCATTGTTTATTTTAACACCTTCGCATGAAACACTAACGTGGGAGCTGGGTGTGAATTGATTTTCCAAATGGAAATTTCCATCTCCAAAGAGACTAAGACCATGACAGTACCTTGGGGATGAGTGTAAAAGAAAAGCTTGTATGTTTTTCTAAGTCAAATATTTTGACTAGGAAATTATGGTTAATATGATATATGTATATATATATATGTGTGTGTGTATACATACATACATACATACATACATACATACATACATTATAGACCCTTTAGTGTGTACTGGTGCTCGGTACTGAACGACAGCAGATACAAAGCCTCAGGCTCTCTGTCCTTCAGAGGAGGGAGGACTGATGCCACCCCAGGATACTGCTCCAGTTGCAGCCCTCTCTGAAGTCACAGGGTACAAGACATTTTGACACAATGAGAAAGCAGCTTGGCCCCCCAGGCAAGAACAGAACCCCCAGCTGAGGTCCCAGAGTGGGCTGGGTGTTTGGCTAGGGTGCCATTCAGAGAGACTGGTGGGGAGCCATGGTGGAAATGTAAAGCTTAGCGGGTCAATGTAGTCTTGAACTCTTCAAAGAATTCGGCGTGTCGATTCAGTAAGAAAATACTGAGCCTGGGTAACTGAGGCCACTTCAGCTGTCGATGTAGAAATCACATCTTTCACCTTAAATGGAATGAGAGATGGGTTTTTTCTGGAGCCGTTTGTAATGACCATGGCCTAGGAACACATATCTAAGTTACCTCCGAATGCCGTGCTTCAACGTGGAAGCAATTTCATGACGTTTTCATAGTTTTATAGAACAAAGAAAGCCACAAGTAAGGCAAGTTTACAATGCATTGGCGGGTAAATCAGAGTGGCAGGCACACCATGGTGGGGAAGCCTCTCCAATGGGCCCAAGATGCCATCTGATGGCATGTTTACCTTCCGGGGTTGTTGGAAGCTAGTGGTCTGCTAAGTTAATAGATTCCAAAAGGATTTTATCTATTAGTTACAGGGATTTTGTTCCAATGCAGAGGTGGGCAGGGAATGGCTGTTACAGATTGTTAGTACTACCCCGAGATAACGTAACTAGCCTCTGAACTTGCAACATTCCAACCTCCCCACAGTACCAAAATCCAAGGAGCCAATCGGACAGTCTGTGCAGACACGGCTTCTTCCCAGAAATTCTCGTTCACACAGATCACATGGATGGGAAGATAAGACATTTTTGACCTGCCAAATGGCCTTTGAATTTGGCAGAGCTGGGTATTGAGCCCGGGGTGACATTTGGATTACGAAGGGGTTCCTAATTTCCCCCAAGCATCGGGACATCTGAACTACTAAAGCATCAGGGCTTCTCTTTGTCTTTGTGTCATGGCTTTCTGGTGAGTGTCAGCCATGTTGGGACACTAGACTTACCCTTTTCCCTGTCCTTAAAAGCCTCAGCAGGACAGGGTGACATGGGGCAATGCTGTATCTCAGTGGACATTAATCATCTGTGGGGACCGACGTATATTATGGAGACTACAGTCAACAACTTTGAACTTAAGACATTTAAAAAACATGAAAGCAATTTAGAGATTTTAATATAAATCACTCGTGATGAGCTACTGAATATATAACAGAAGATTAAAACTAGGAATAATAATATATTTAAAATATATGTGATGATGTCATGCGGGTATTTTGAATAGTGTGTACTTATTTAGGTTATAGGAAAGGTAAAATTGTTTGGATGGATTACTTGAAGGCCTATAGATTGCAAAATGCTCCTAAGAAGTTATTCAGAAGCAGAAGCGCCATGAGTACCATACTCTTTCCGGCAAATCCCATTCTTCCCTGAGTTTAAGTTCCTTAAAATTTGCTTTCTATGCTGTTATATTTTAATCCTCATGAATTGAAAAATATCTTAATTGCCCTTACCTTTCCTAACTTAATTTATCACAGTCTCTCCTGGGCATATAGATTTTTATTTTGTTTTGCTTTGCTTCTCCCCCCCTACCCCCGACTTTTAGCATTGCAATTAAATACAGAAAACTTAAACTAAGCCTGCTAAAACTTATTTGAAATATCCCTTATGAATATTTTTGCTTGCAAGACATCAGTTTCTTAAGCTTAAGTTTGGTGTTTAGAAGCGAGCAGGCCCTCCAGGGGGATCCTGTCACCTGTGTAGTGCAGTTGTGTGTAAGCGTGGAGAGAACAGAAGAGGCATTTCTGCAGATTCAGGGTTGCAGTACATACCAGAGTTGGCTGGAGTAGACTCCTCCTGCTTCTGCATCCCAAGGAACTCAGTGAACCCTCAGTGGAGAGTGAGAATTAAATGCTCAGCCGTTCTCTGTCTCCAGTAGTGAGTGGACACTTGGGAACAGGATGATACAGGGCAGAAGCCAGGACTGGGCTCTTCCTCCTCTGCTTTGTGTCCCAGCTGGGCCCCACCCACTGAGGGACCTATACCAAGTGCACTTCTTATTGAAATAAGTTTCACTTTCCTGGTCTTGATACTAGTATTATATGGCCCTCATATATTTGTATGTCAAGGATGTTGACTTGACTGATATGAGATTGCCTTAAAAATAGAATCCAGTGAAAGACAAAGAGATACACACAGTCCCCAGTATCTCAAAGCTCCCAACTGGCTAATTATAGCTATTTCATATAAAAGATAGGGTTACGTTAACCATAACCCATATTTTCTGCTAGAAATACATAAGCATTAAAATCATTTGAATCGGTATCTATACTTTCCATAACAATAATTCTTTAAACTTTGAAAACAATACTAGCTTTGAATCCCATTATCAAATTAAACATTTTGTGTGTGTATGTGTGTGTGTGCTAAAGTACATAACCTTTATTACTTTTAAAATGGTGATATTTGGAAATTTCATTGGTCTGTGGGGAGTAGATGATACATTTTTCATTTGATGGAACTGTGTTCAGTAAGCATTGAATCTCAGAATCCCATCCATGTCTAAGAACTGAACAGGGAGACATGAAGAAGATATGGAAAGACTATCTCCTTATATAACTAGAGTAACAGCTGTCTACATGCCACAATGGTCTCCACCATCTGAAACTGTAAGACAACCCCAATTACTTGCTTTCTTTCATAAGAATTGCCTTGTTTATGATACGTCTTCACAGCAATAGAAAAATGACTAACACCTATACTTACCATGGAATATAAATTTTTACCTATGAAGAGGTTACACCTCTCCTAGACACCACAGGGAGCCAAGATTAATGCACATGGGGTAGATATGGACTGCTTTTCAAGTTGCTGGTCACTGGGGGGCTCCCTAGATTTTCCCAATAATGCAGGCTAGTGCCATGGTTTTGTTTTGTTTTTTATTTTTATTTATTTATTTATTTATTTATTTATTTTTGCCTAGAGAACTCGATACTAAGTCCTAGGACAAGATAAATAAGGTAGTATCATCCTGGAAGATTCATCCTTGTGTTGGTAGGTGCCATGTGTACCCCTATGGAAGAAAGGTCATCAGTAGTCCTACCCAGCTGCGAACGATTGCAAACTAATACGCAGACTATGCAACAATAGCAAGAATATTATGAGTAAGCAGTAGCTGCTTCTCATGGTTGAATATTCTACCACGGTGTTTGTATGCCTGTCTGTTGATGAATGTTTGAACCTATGGCTCATATAATGTTGAGGAAGCATTGTGCTTAGTTTTCTGTTTGTACATGTGTCTTCATTCTCTTTATGTATTTATATACCCAGTAGGGGTGTGGCTGGATCACACGTGCCGATTTCATCTTTAATATTTGAGAGACTTTTACAGAGGATCTGTGCTATTTTGTGTCCCTACATTTTTGCTACCCTTTTCTATGTTCTGCTTTTTTGTTAAAATTATCTGGTGCTGAGAGAAGAATAAGGTGTGAGCCTGAGGGGAACGTTGTCTCTCAGAAATGGATTTTACGCAGTTCCAACAGCTCGTCAGAGCGCCTTACGGAAAGACTGAGCCCCAGAGAGCCTTGGGTCACTGGTGAGTTGGACTAAAGGCTGACTGTTCAAGCATTTGTATTTTTGGCTTAACTTTGATCTTACTTCAGGATCCAAAAGATGGACTTGGCGCCTGGGGGGGGGCGGGGTCATTGGATCTCTGTCTCTCTTTCCAATGTGGCCACACTGAATAGGTCTCTGTTTTCTCCTTTTTATAAAACATTATCCTGCTGGTTCTGAAGCAGAATCTCAAGGTGGTTGGGTTTGAGCCGTTTTGTCAGTTGCTTCCGCTGGATGGCTTCTCAGGTGCTCGTTCACCATCTGTGTATTTCCTTAGGAGAAATGTCTGTTCAAATTCTTCATCCATGTTAAACCGCCTTGAGTTTTCACCATTTCACATTCAAATATTATGCCACTGTTGTCTAAAAGTTGGCGTATTCTGAGTGGGTGAGTGTGTAGAAGTCAGGCAGGTGGCTTCACACATGCTTTATTTCACGTCAAACACTTTGTTTTAACGTTCTTTTAAACAGATTTGTTTTTGTTTTCAGTGTGTATCTGTGTGTCTTTGTGAGTATATGCCACATGCTTGCAGATCCCTTCAGAGTCCAGAGGAGAGTGTCTGATTTCCTGGAACTAAAGTTACAGGCTGCCAGGAAGCAAACTGGAGTTTGGCCTCTAGGAGAGCAGCAAGTGCTCTTACCTCTGAGGCATTCTCCCAACCCACATTTTCAGACTTTTTTCACATTGCTCTTTGTGTTTATTTTGTGTTTCTATGATGGGATGTTTGAGGAAGATAACTTTTTAAAGAAAACAAAAGTCTGTGCAGAGTTTTGGAGCCTTAATGGTATGGAATCCGGGTCAGTTCGCTTCTGTTAAGGGTTGTGCCATGCTATGTCAGGGGATGGATGGCAGTTGACAATGGTTGGGAGGTAAGTGGAAACAAATGGCCATAGTCTGAGCAAGGGCAGAGAGAGGAAAGTCGAGGTCAGGCCTTATCCTTTTAAAACAGCCCCCAAGAAGGAACTCAGCTGGTCCCTAGAGAGCATCTCATGACCCAGTGGCTCACAAATATTTTACTAAACCTTGCATCTCAAAGATCTGACCGCTTTTTACTATGCCAATCTGCAGACCATCCTTAGAAGCCTGGGACCACTCCCGGACCACATCCTCCAATATGCAATATTTACATTATCTTGTTTTTTTGTGCCTCTTGGTTTTAGTGTTAAGTCTGAGAATTTATTGTCAAATTTCAGATCAAAATATTAACTGTGGACTTTACATTTCTAGCTCTTCACATTTAAGTCATTGATTTGGGTTTAATGAGTCGTAGCCTATGACACAAGGCAGGGGTTGCATTAGTTCTTTTGAATATGTTGTCTGGTTTCCAAACACCATTTCCGCCCCCCTTTCAATAGTGCAATGTTTTTGACACTACATTTATCATAGAAGATTGGGTTCATTTCTGGAGTCACAGCTTCTGTGGCATTAACCAAATGCAAATACCACATTACAGTGCAATATCCCAATGCAAAAGAAACATAAGCAGTATTTTTATCCATTTGCCAGTACCAGCACTTTGTAATAATCCATTTTGCAACTAGCAATTGTAAATTCTTCAAATTTACTCCTCTTTTTGAAGACTCTTGTTTATGGGGACCCTTTACCGCTCATATGAGCTTGAGGATTGGCTTTTTCATGAGAAATAACTTATCATTCTGATAGGGTTGAATTAAATCTGTAGGTTGCCTTGGAAAATACCATGTTTATTGCTGAGTTTTCTGATCCATAAAGATGAGATGTTTGCAATTTATTTAGGCTTTCTTTCATTTCTTTTTTTTTTTTTCCTGTAATGCTTTCTAGCTTGTAGCTTTTTTATTTTTATTTTTTTTAATTTAGGTTCTATTATACATAGAATTGTTTTCTGAACTTACTTTGGCATTGTTATCGAGTTGAAACATCTGCAGTGCAACGCTCGAAACGATGCTAGTTTTAAGTTTTGGTATTTGCTCGTCTTGAGCTAAGGGGATTTCCTTTTCTCCTGGTCTCTTTCACTAATGCATCCTGAACACTTGCACACCCACCCCCTACCACTGCTGTGCACCGCCCCCTTCCCGCATAAGACAAAGCAGGCCCCGCCCCCAACTGCTGTGCACCACCCCCTTCCCGCATAAGACAAAGCAGGCCCCGCCCCCAACTGCTTGCACCACCCCCTTCCCACATAAGACAAAGCAGGCCCCGCCCCCATGCTGACGTCATTCAATTTTTTTTTTTTCCTGAGAGATGGTTTTATTGTTTGTCTCCTTTGTCCTTGCCTGTAATAATTCCCTTGACTGATTTTCCTATGAAGAATCATAGTTGCATTCTTTGGGGGGAAATTACCTGATTATTTTATTCCATTCTCTTAACGTGTTTCTGGATTCTGTTCCCTCACAGTTTGTTGAAATATTTTTGTGCGTTTCCATATGGCATGTTGTTTTCTTGTCCTGTCTCTCAAGACTGTTCTTTTATTTTTATCCCGTTAAAAATGAACTTTTTATTGATTTTATTTTTTGATTGTGTAGTGTTAGTATTAAAACACAGCTTGCTTCCTCTTATTGAGTTTTCCTGAATCAGTCTATTGCTCTCGTAGGGCATGCCTTATGATTTTCTGTCTGCGAAATCTCACCACATGTGGGTGAAGGTACTTTGATTTGTTCCTGTGGATTCTGAGTTACTTTTGTTTCTTGTCCATTTTAGCCCTGGTAGTGAAAACTGGTAGAGGCCAGGTTCTTTCCTCCCAATTTTAGGAAAAAGATCTCAGTCTTTCACAATTAAATATGATTAGTCACTATGGGTTTGATCAGATGAAAGAACTTCTTTTTGTTTTTAGCTTAAATTCTTAAAAAAGATGGTCTTCATTCTATTAATTTGATATTATCATATTGACCGATTCTCGTGCTATAGCAATCTTGTATTCGTGGGACAAATCTTACTATACTAGAATGAATTATTGGGTGTGCATTTTTAATATAGTATTTTATTAATTGTTTTAGAATTCCACACATTCTTAGAATGTACATTGATCATATACACCCCCAATCTTTTCTCTAACACCTCTTAGAACTGCCCTCCGTCTACCACCCCTTCCCAACTTTGTGGGTCTCTCCCCAACCCCCCTCTCTCTCTTTCTCTCTCTTTTTCGTTTGATAGTTCACTGGATCTAATTCATACTGTCCTCGTCTACACTTCGACTGTACCATAACTGACCTACTAGAGACTAAATAAAACTGAATCACTGAGTCTTCTCCTAAATAAAATTGCTTCTTCCTATCCTAGCTCCCATCACAAATGAGTAGATAATTAAGGAAAGTTAACGATTCATGAGCTTTCCAACCCCATGCTGGAAGACTGACAGGTTTGGTAGAGAGCCATAGCTCTGCAGTGATTTCACACCTGCAAGACATTGTTTTATCACAGTACCCCCTGCTCTTGGCTCTCAATGTCTACCTGGTTGTCCTTGATGCTCCAGATCTTTGGGGTATGATATTAATGTCCCGTTTATAGTTGAAAATTCTATATTCTACTACATAAAAATGTTACACTGATGAGGACTTAGAGCTGCACTAATATACAGCTGTAGAGACTCATTGAGAAGGTGACTTAATACCATGTCTATCTAGCAAAATTAATGATCGGTTCACCTCTGGGGCCTGTGAACTCCTCAACAACAGGGTCTTGGTCAAAGTTATAGCTGTTCTATACATTTCTTCTGTGGAGTGGGCCTTCAATGTGATGGATCCGTAGTCACCCAATAGCATTCATGTCATCATTGCTCTCTTGAGTGTGTCTTTCCTGGTTTTGACTCCAGTTCTCACAGAATACCCTGTGGGATGAGAACGTTGACTTTAGCCCCAGCTGGTTCATGGAACTCAGTGTGTGATGGGGATTTGACCCTCCTGAGACAACCTGGCAGGAAATGTGTGGCCGAGTAGTCATGCCTTCACATCGCCAACACAGATCATCTCAGGGATCCCAGCCAGGAATCAATGAGATTTTCTAGTCTCCACAGTTGAACTTCATGTAGACTTTCCAATAGGATGATTTATAGAAAGCAAGACAACCAAATAAAGTTGGAAGAGAGGGAAGTTATAACCAGAAGGCAAACCATTCTAACTGGTGTATAAAACGCAACAAGAAAGAATATCACAAAACAAGTAGTCATCTTGACCTACCCTCAACCACCCAAATCCCCTGTAGCAGAACTCAAAATCACAGACATAACATAGCCCCAGAGGAAGAGTAAAACAACACACACACACACACACACACACACACACACACACACACACACACACACACACCCCAAAACCCATCACTAGCCATATCAGGGCTTTCTCAGGACTCTTAAGTCAGTTTTCATCTACTGCCCTGCGTTCCATGCTTCCTGAAGCATTTGCTGACATAACCCACGGGCTCTTAATCTACTTTCACTGTGACTTTATATCATGGTATTAGTTGTGCTTTAATTAACTTATTACTTTGCTTAAATAGCATTTTGTTTATAGTACTTCAGCCACAAAACTTGCTATTTTTGTTGCCTTCTGTTTCTCCCTCCTAGCCAGTCAATTTTCCTTCTATGTAAAAACACTGTCACGAGTCCCTTTTTGCTGGCGACTGTGAACTTCCTAGTGTATTAGACCGCTTCAAAATCTTAATGTCTTTCTTTCACACATTAATTGCTTTTCAGACATGTGTGATATGGGCTAGTGGTGGATTTTGGTGTGTGTGTGTGTGTTTTGTTTTGCTCTTCCTCTGGGGCTGATACATCTCAGGGTCCTGGGAATGTTCTGATCTGGTGGTTACACATGGTGGCTGGGAGGCTTTATGGCTAACTCAGAAGTGACTTGTGCGTCCTCCGACTTACTTTCATTAGTGAGCAGCAGTCAGAGAACTGTACCTAACTGCAGAGGTGCCCAGAAACTACTGAGCAAGTTTCTTCCCAGAAGAGCACACCTTGGGCCTTTGGCGTTCTATGCTCTACAGGATTAGCTAGTCCCAGATGGTTGCCTATGCACATACAAGAATTCTCACATTCCCTGCCTCTTCAGTGGCTTGTGTGCATTCTTTGCAATTAATTTGACACTTTCTCTGTTGTTAAGCATTCCTTTAAACATGCCTTTATCGGGGCCATTTAGCTAGCTCATCAGGTAAAGATACCCAACACCCAGCCTGGTGGCATGAGCTGGGTCCCCAGGTCACCAAGGGTGAAAGAAGACAATGGATGACCCCTTTGATCTCCGCCACACGTGCCAGTAGGGAGGTCCTCCCACCTTCCCTTATAGCCACAAAGTACATACATAAAAATGTAATAAAAATTGTAAATGTCTTCATTTATATGTGGTTGCATTTAGAAAGGAACACAGCAAGAATGTGTGTTTATTTCTGCACTTAAAAACTGTAAGTTTGGCGTCAAAACTTGTGAATGAATGGGGAGTGAGGGTTATTTCCCGAGATTATGACCGCGATCCTTGAAACCCAGGGCGACATTAGAGTTTACTCTGCAGGAAAGTCAGCAGCACTCCCCTGTAGCTCCAGAATCACCAGCTGGCTGATTGTCTGAGACGGCCTAGATGTATGAGGAACGTGTAAAATATTGCTCGTAGTCAGTAATTATTTCACAGTTTCCTAGGAGAGCTAAATTATAATATCAAAACTCATGCTATGAAAGGAGAGGGTTTCAAGATGAACTAATTGTTTACAATTCAAAGGATCATTGTATTGGTGGAAATAAGCCCATTGACATAGGTAGTTGGGGATCAATTAATTAACATGGTAGCAACAAAGCACTTCTTAAGTGTGAGTGGGGCGCAGCTGGGGTCTGGGGCTGTAGCAGGCGTGGTAAAATGTTGGCGTAATAGTCAGTCATAGCATTCTGGGACTCAGTGGAATATTATGTAGTTAATGAGAGGGGAAAACAGCTACAGACTTGTATTCTAAGGTAAGCTGGGGGAGAGCTGGTTAGCTGACCCTGAATGGTAGGAGTTCATGACAAGCAGGCAGCAGGCAAGGTCAGAGCCTGTCAGGAACAGACTCACCAGTTGTGGGTGATTTCACTAGACAGAGTTGTGTTCGTTCTATTCTGGATTGGATTTAACTCAGTTCTTACAAAGTGAGCTCCCCGAACTGGGTGTGGCAGTCCCCACCAGGACCCAGAAGACAGGCGGGTAACTGGGACTTTGTGGCTGGCCTGGGCTACCTAGTGAGAATCTTTCTTAAACAATAACAACAACAAAACAGAAAAAAAAAAAAAATCAACCAACTGTCTTTCTTGACAAACTCCAGAGGCACTACTCTCCCTGGGTAGATCAGAGTGGTGGGTGACTAGGTGACAGCCTGTTAGCAGTCTTACTTTAGTTATTTTCCCAGAAGGCATTTTCCCCCAATCTCTCTAATTGTGTGGTGCTGAATATGCATGCAAGGCTTCTGGTGTCTTGTGGTGCTATAAATACGCGAGCTTTGTTCTGATGTTAGTTGCTTTAAAGAGCGAAGTAAATCTGGGAGGCTTCATAGCGATGACTGTATCTGACATCTCATGCTAGGTTGTATGGTGCTGACGTGGGATCCTGAGTGAGCGCTTGATTGTGTGGTCAGCGAATACTGCCTCACCCCACTCCCCACGCGCGCGCGCACACACACACACACACACACACACACACACACACACACACACACACACACACAGACTTCCCTAGCAGCGAATTTTCTGTTTGAGACCTTCCCATTGGAGGCCTGCATGCTGGGATGAGCTGCCACAACTTTTTTAGTTCCATCCAAAATCCAAAACAGAGCGATGAAGAAGTGGTGTCTGTTGGGTTTCTTTGGGTAATCCAGGCTGTTAACGACGACGAGAGGAGCCAGCCAGGGCTTCCTTGCTACTAGACACATAATCCCGTTTTCTCCCTTGGATAAATCACAGAAGATGTCAGGTCTCCCCTTCTTCGCGGAAGAACAAAGCTTGGTGTTGTAATATGAAGCAGAGCATGGACTGCTTCCTTTACTTGTATGGTGTTACCTAGTACATACCTTGCCATCACCCATGATTCATGCTACTTGGACGAGAGAGGTTGATGTTAATGTGCTAATTTGTCCATTCGATTTATGTGTTTGTGATCTGCATTTCCTCTATCCTGATTAGAAGATCCCTTTAACCGCTGCCCATCATCTTAACATTGTCCTCTGGCACACCTATGGGTGCTGAGTCTTTCATAGGCTATAGGTATATTGATGGTTGCCATACTTCCCTAAAGGAAGGTTACCCAGACCAGGCAGTCAGAGCTTTAAGGACTTGTGCTCACAGTTTATGATTCCAGTATTTTCAGACGAACATACCAGGGACTAAAATATGTTTCTGCTTAGTTGTCCGAAGGAAAAAAAATAATCAAGGATTCCCTTATCAAATGTCTGAAACTGGACTTACCCATGTGTTGGGTTTCTTCATGTGGAACAAATATTGATATTGTAAATATTTAAACATAACCATTAATCACCTGGGATATCTCCTACACATGTGGACAATAATTCAACTGGATTGTATTTTTTTATAAGCATAAGAGTACTTTATTCATACTAATCTATAGAGTTTTCTGGTACTGAAATCGGGGCAATAAGGATAGGTTCATAAAATGAAATACTTTAAGTAATTAAATAAATATGCTTCTATTCAGTTCAGTAAGAACAACTTTTAAAATAAAACTAATTGGGTAAGATTATTGAAATGACAAGGAAAGGGAAAGACAGAACTGATAAATAAATCTAATTACTTATTACTGAAGTGGAACGGAAGAGTAGAATGACACAATATCAGTGCATCTCTGACAGAGGCGGTTAATAAAAGAGCAGTGACCGCAAAAGTATCCAAATACTCAGCCAAAAGAAATCAGAAAAATAGGTTCTTTTGAGACGTGTCAAACTTGTGTATATAAATATGTACATGTGTATTTGAACATCTGTTATGTATATATTTATAATTGGTGATAGACTGGTTACCATATGTGCCTCTTTCCAGTCCTCCCTACCCTTAGGAGGTGGACACAAGATTATCGCTAGGGTCACATTATGTAAGCCGGTCTCAGAAACCCAAAACAAATAAAGTAAAATGCAGTGGTAAATATAGCTATTTTGGAACATTGACTTACACAGATCCTTTTTATTTTTTTATTAATTTATTTTTACATTCCAATCCCCGTCCCCCCTCCCTCCTCTCCTCTTGCTCCTCTATTCCCCCATATCTCCCATCTGCTTCGTGAAGAGGATAAGGCCTCCCCTAGAAAGCTAAGTCTGTGCCATCATCTCCTTGAGGCAGGACCAAGGCTCCTCTCCACTCTCTGCACCCCCGTGTCTGGGCTGAGCAAGGCATCTCTCCGTATAGAATGGGCTCCACCTAGTCAGCTTGTGCATTAGAGTCAGATCTCGGACCCACTGCCACTGGCCTCATGTATTGTCCCAGTACTTACACAGATTTAATAGCGAGAATAGCATGCAGCTAGGCATAGAATCATGGGAGGGGTTGAAAAGATTCAACGTCCTTCTTCATGTTCATGCCACGGCGTCAGATGGATAATTCTAGGTTGTGTCAGAGTCCTAAGAAGCTTAGCTCTCGGGAGTCACACAGTCCTGTCTATCCGTTGTCTACAAAGTACTGAGGAAACCACCTGTTCTTGATGAATAAATGAAGTGGTGAATGAATGCTTGCACACTCTTGCCTTAGTCCTCTCAGAGGTCAGCATGAGACGGGGCAAGTTATATAAAACCCTGACATGACGGAGTGAGCCCCCAGGTAACGGCACTATTATAGACTTCTATAGCACATTGGGGTCTACTAAGGAATTTTCTGATCTCTGTGTTGTCTCAGGTTTTCCTGGACAGAGTATCTGGAAGCCAATCAAGCAAACGCAGTGCCTGCCAGAGTTTTCAACACAGTAAGCTCCTTGTGGGTGGGGCATGCCCGCCTTCCCAGTGTCCTGCTTCAACATGATGATGATTCAGGTGCTAATTCCATAGCTAACTTGCTTTGTCTTCCCTTAATGCTACAAAGTTGGTGTTTATTTGCTGTTGCTCCTACATTCCAGCAAGGACCCCAGAGGCTCTAAACACAAGCCCCTGTCAGCCACTGTTGGTGGAGAACTTGAAGCCCTTTTCTCAGGCCCTGCTGAGTTGAGAACTCTTGACTTATGTCCTTTTGCCAGTGAGTGTTTGGATTGTGATGGTAGCATAGTCAAATAGAGGAAATATGGAGTCTTTTGTAAGCATAGTTTTATCTACATGAAGGCAATATTTGCTCTGGCAATTGTGAGAGTACCGGTGTTTACAGTTCAGATTTATACATGTCTATTTACTAAGGGGTTAACTGAGTAGAAATTAATTTCTAAAACACAAGTGACGCTACTAGGTATATTTATGTTAGAAATCAGTGGGTTTTAAAATACTCTTCCTTTCCAAATTCTGTGTCCTCCCAACTAAACTCACCTCTTTTTGTGTGTTTGTTTGTTTGTTTCTGATTGTTTGAGACAGTGTTTATATGTTGCCTTGGCTTTCCTGGAGTTCTCTATGTAGACCAGACTCAGAGTTCCTTCTGCCTCTGCCTCCGGAGTGCTTGGAATAAATGTTTATCTTTAATCAGGACTCTATATATTAGAAATCCTAATTTATTTATATAATTTTATTTACTGAATGTTTTCTGGCAATTAGATAAGACTTGAAAGAAAATGCTATTTCATTTTTCTACTAACGAGTTTAATGGCTGGATATAGGGTAAGAAGCACACAGAACAAAGAAGCCGTGGGGTCTAGGACTACAAGAGTTTTAAGGTTTCAGCAAGCAAATATGCCTAATGTCTGATAGCTTCCTTTTCTCCCAACCTTTGCCTAAATCTTCATTGATTTTCCTAGAGGAAAGATTCAAGAAAATAACACAATGGAAATATTTAGCTACAAAGACACTTCTAGGCTCTAGCTGATTTTGGAATAGCCCTTGTATGTATATTTGGCATCTACAACACTAAATAATTACATTCCTTGTAGAGGACAGTGATCTTGGAGAGTTAATTAGCTCTTTCCGGAGACCCATTTATATTGGCATAGTCCATTTAGTAGGTATAATAATGCCTTCAAAAGAAAAGTTTCTCCCATATAAGCTGTGGCGAGCTTTACCAGATGATACTGGAGATTGGCTTAAGTTTTTATTACTTGAACATCAGTAGTTTTATTGTCCCATTACCACTCCTAGTCTTGAGGAACTCAATATCCTTTCTCACATAAAGTCAGATGGACACTGTTCATGTGAAATAGCTTTTGAAGTGAAGCCTTCTGCTAGCCTATAAAAGCTGTTGGGGTGGTCTTACTTTTGACAGTTGAATTTTCTTACCATAACGACTTCCCGGACCCAATGGGTTTCCCATCCTATTTTCTTTACTGCTTGTATGTTTATCACTATGGACTCCTGACCCCAAATATTTTAAAACATAAACCTAATGTAGGTGAGATCGCGAAAGAATAGCATGTGGCTTTGACTTATATTGTGGATAAACTTAAGAGTGTTGAAGTTGAGCTTCAGCGCTTGCCTCTAAGGATGCCTGAAATTTTAAGTTTAGAAAACACGTTTGAGTGACTTTAAACAGATTGCCTCTTAAGCTACACAGTTTAAATGGGCAGTGAGAATAGCAAGCACTATCTTATTTTATATTTTAGAAAATGTCTAATGAAGGAACTGTGGTAAGAATCTTTTCAAAACTTGATGCGATCATTAATAAAGATCATTAATAAATGTATAAGTGAATCTTTCCTTGTGCTTTGCAGCTTTCTCTTAAATGGCCAAAAGTCTTTCTTTCTCTTTGTAAGTTTTTATAACACTGACTTGAAAATATGGACAAAGTCCTATGTGCTCTTAAAACTAAATCCCAGCTTGATAAAAGATCTACGTGTTTACACCAAAACCGTGATCCTGGGGACGGGGCAATGGGAAGTGGACTTCCTGGCTTGTCATTGACTTACTGCACTGTGATTCCGCAGAGGGCTCCACATGGCTTTTTACCAAACATGAAGCTGGAAGTTGTGGACAAACAAAATCCCCAGTTAATTCCTGTTGCCACCATTGTAGATGTTGATGACCACACAGTAAAGGTATGTCTTTATTTATTGCATTGACCCCCCACCCCCAATAATTTTTCTGCTTCCCTATCTTGTCATCTCCTTCATCTTCCTCAGTTTTTAATTCAAATTCACAGCGATTTTCCATGGAGAAAAGCCATTATGGGTCTGATTTCAATGATTGTAAGGATGTAAAGTAATAGTCTCCCCAAGGCCTCCGGCTATAGGGTGCTGCTTTCAAACCTCTGTAGTTGGACTTTTTCTTTTTGTTGGGACCATTATAATGATATGGGAACTTGTAATTAATTATGATAGCTTGGCCAGTGGCTTAAGCTTGTTCCTAACTAGCTCTTATAACCTAAATTAGCCAATATCTTTTCATCATTTCCATGGCTTGGTTATTTTATTCTCTAATGAGGCTATCGATTTTGCCTCCCTTCTTCTCCTCTCTGCCCAGAAATCCTGCCTAGCTATCACCTGTTCAGCTTTTTATTAAACCAATCAGACTGACACAACTCCACAGTATACAAAAAAGTTCATTCCATACCTTTTCCCCCTTTTTATCTAGAAAAAGGGAAGGCTTTAACTCTAACACAAGAAAACTATATACAATAAGAACAATCGTCAAGTATTGTCTAAATAGAGAGGAGAGGTATTGATTTTAGCAAATGAAACTATACACAATAAGAACAATTATCAAGTAAGAATTACATACACAATATCTAGTCCATTTGTATTTGGCAAATTCAGAGAAAATACTCCATTAAGCATCCTCTCTTCATGAGTCTAGAGTTTTACACATAATTTACTTTTCTATCCTGACTAAGGAAGACGATAACTATACCTATCTAGTCTTCAACCCCATCAAAGACCTGAGGATGATATAACATTACCCAAGTAAACAGGAAGTGCTGAGCAAGCAATTTCCTAAACTATACAAATGACAGAGACATCTGACTACCACCACTGCTACCCAAGGTTCCTCTTCAACATTGGACAATCGACCTTGAGACTGTAGGCGTAGAAAGTCTGACAGACTTTTGCGCAAAGCTGGAATTTTGAAGGACTGTCTGTCCTACCTTGTCTTGGAAAATTTGTCAATCTCTTTCTTTGGTCTCCTGCTTATCTAGTTTGGACAGCAAAATGTCATTAGCTGAGACAAGGGAATTTTCTTGCACAAATGGCTAGCTTTTGCCACAAAGAAACTAAACTCCATTTGGAGGTTCTTCAGTGCCCATCATCTGTCTGTTTTTTTTTTTTTAAAGCAAATCCATACTTCTAGGAGCAGACTATCTCGTTGTTATGAAAAGCCTTATTTTATTATAAAATTTAAGTGTCATATTCTGTATGTCTTTGAAATATTTGAAGATCATCTATCTATCTAAAAAATATCAGGTATGAAAACATACCTGACATGACTATAACTTTGATTGTTATAGATGACTATTAACATGTATTTTTTTTAATTCTCTTAAATAGCTTACAAAGACTAAAAGTTTACATTTTAAAATGAGCAGAATAGGTGCAATTACTTAAACAAGAGTAGAAACATATATACTACTAACAAAAATAACCTTACATTTGTATCAATATACAGAAGTCCATACAAATGTAAAATTGTTCAAAGTAGATTCAACAACCCACTCTTTAATCCCATCATTTCTGTATTATATCCCCCATTTTCCCCTTGTAGAAAGAGATTCTTGACTCTAATCTCCTTTCTTTATCTTTCTCCCTGACAATAACCAGTAATAGTTTGTAACCAACACCCCTTAATTAGATGACAAACTCCATTACCCATTGAAAGACCAAAAACCACCCACCCCACCTCTGGGAATGTGGGCATTGTGTTTTCAAGACAGATTTCTTGTTGTCTGGGGGTGATGAGATCTCTGGGGAACCCTGAACAACTATGATAAATGTTAAGTCCTGGCTAGAATAGACTGTGAGGCTGGGCCATTTCAGTCAGCACCCTTGAAGCTGTTCTGGAGAACACTGTAACAGAGGCACTCTGAGAGGCTGGATTACCTGCACCACCTAATTTTATTGGTGTTTTGTCACCTTGCTCTGAAAACATATAAATATGTTTATCTTCATTAACACAAGTATGGAATGTACCTTGTGCATAAGTTAGTTAAAGATGACTTTTTTTGTTCTGTGTTTGGGCAGGCAAAATGTATCTGTCAACTTTTTAAGTCCATTTGGACTGTATAACCAAACCGCATTTATAAATATCCATCCATCCATATGAAACGATGGCATGTAATAATAAATCACATGGACTCTGTAGTCAACAAGAGTTATCAAGACTCATCTCATCTCTGAGCTATTCCCATGCAGAGGGTTAAACTTACACGTCACCTACCCTGTAGCCTTTTTTGACTTCTACCCCCATGTCTGAAGCCAAGATACTCAGCAGATCTCCCCCAGTCAAATCTGATCTCTATTAACCTGAAGGTTAGAGCCTTCATTTTCTGTGGAAACAAAAGCATAACCTCTACCCCAATGTAAATGTTTTTTGACTTCCATTTTGAAGTTAAGGCATTCCTAAAGAACATAGGTTGGTTTAATTCAGCAGTCCCTTCCACAATCCAATGTCTCTTCAGCAGATATTTTATGTTCATTAGCATTTAAACAATTCAAAATTAACAAGGCACCATATAAGGTCCAAACTCCCTGTGTTATATTTCCCATCCTTATGGCTTATTCTTTTTTTGTATTACTTTATGTCTGTCTTAAAAACTTTACTTGATTCTTTATTTATTTATTTGGTTTTTTGAGACAGGGTTTCTCTGTAGCTTTGGAGCCTGTCCTGGAACTCACTTTGTAGACCAGGCTGGCCTTGAACTCACAGAAATCCACCTGCCTTTGCTAGGGATAAAAGACATGCTCCACCATTGCCCGGCTTTACTTTTATCATTTTTAAATATTTATTTATTTATTTATTTATTTATGGCTGTTTATATCCTTTTCCCCTTCTTTTCCTCCCAAGTCTACACACATTGTTAAGCACATTATAACCAGTTTAGAGGTTGTTTTTCATCCGAACTTGCTTTTCAATGTCCGTAGCCTTTTCTGTCTGTATGAGCATAACTTTAAACCACTGTGCTGCTTAACTCATGGCTTGCTGGCAGTTCCAGCCCTCAGACAGGGGCCAGGAGATGCACTGCAGCCCACAGAAGATTGACTGTGGGACTAGAAAGCTACATTTGGCTCTGTATCTGTGTGTTTGGAACCTATTTTAAAGTTTTCTTAGGTCTTATGTGGAAATAAGTGCCCCCATATTGGATGCTATTTGTAGTTTGACATTTTTGTCTGAACCATTGGCTCTGCAGTAATGACACAGAGACTTCTTGTTTAGAAAGCTCAGGCAATAGCTTAGGCTTGTTTCTAACTAGCTTTTATAATGTAAATTAACACATTTCTGTTAACCTACAGTCTTTTACATGGCTCAGTTACCAAGTCTCTGTACTACCCAAATGTTGCTTCCTCACTATCTGTCTAGAAACTTCACCTTCTTTAATTCTTTTTATTAAACCAATCGGAGTGACACATCTCCACTGTGTACAAAAAGATTATTGCACAACAAACCTCTACCTGTCTTCCTTCCTCTTCCCATGTCTTTGGGTAGATGCATGCAATCACTGAGTTGGACAGGACCAACATTGAGACAGTCTCTAAGATATTTCCACTTGAATATTCTTTACGTTCTTCAAAAATCAAAGATTTTGAATTCTGTTTCCTGGCATTACCAGATTTTTCTTGAAATTATTGTCATAACTACTACAAGTGTTTGTTTTTTTTGTTTTTGATTAAAAAACAAAACAAAAACAAAAACAAAATGCATTTTGGCCACTGTAGCCAAAAGTTAGATCTGAATTAACGACTTGGTGAACAGATTTCTGTATTGTTCTTGTTGAATACACACATTTTAGGAAATGAAATAGGGAAAACAAAATCTCCCTAAAATGAAATCATTTGATTTTTTTTTAATACAAAGATCAGAAAGCATTTGTTAGCTTGGCTTTGTTGTATCTTGTAAAGAGTAGCAGTTAAAAATAATTTTGCATCCAAGCACTGTGTGTTTTCATAGTAATAAAACCAGTGAAGTAAACAGCTTTTAATAGGCACTCCATTAAAAAAAAATGTATGTGTTTGATGTCAGCTGATACAATTTAGAGGAAATTTTATTATTTGCTTTATCTTTAATTTGAATAATTCGTTTTATGTAGTTACAGTTACATGAGTTTGGTAAATTTCAGAGACAAGTGTAGGACTTTGCCATAGATCATTGGCAGTACACGTGCCAGGGTTTTTTGTTTGTCTGGCAAATAAAATAACAAGTGTGCTCAGGAACCAAGTAGCTGTTGGCTTGTTATCGACATGTATCTTTAATTTTAAGTGTAATGTTCAAGGCCTCCCTGTTGGCTTGTCATTGTTTACTTCTTAGCACTCAGTGTGGAAACACACTGCTTGTCACATTGGCTCTGTAATAGTTTCACATTCATGACTGTCATTTAGCTGTCATTCTAAATTTATTGCATTTCAGTTTTAATAACATACAAAAACAATGTAGATTTTTATTGAAGGATATTTTTTTGATACTCTCAAGAAATGATTTCAGATTTTCACTTGATCATCTGTTGCTGCCTTGTTATGTGAAAATATCGAGTTATCCTATTTATTATCTTAAAATATAATCTGAAAAACTTTATCTCTTCAGGTGAATCTATTGTATCTCTCACATACCATCTCAGCATTGAGCTTTTAAAGTCTTTTGAGCATTTAGAATTTAGCTGATGGTTGCAAAACAGCATTTCATTTTTTCCCCCTCATTCTCTTTCATTCATGGAAATTGTCCTTGTTGGAGGAGAAAGAATTGAAGAATATATAGTACCTGTGAAAGTATTAAGGCCATAATTTTTATCTCTATGAGGATAGAATATCTTATACAAATTACAACAATGATTTTGTTATCTCTGTCTTCTTTGGGCATAAAAGAAAGCCTTTAGGATTTTAGAGTTAAATCAGAA